AAGACACAAGGGACTGTGTTGGTGCGGTTGTTGTTTCAAGTGCACTGCACAGTGGTTTAAAATATTAAGAAACAGGATTTTACAACCAATTTTATGATCACCAGGCACCAACAGTAGAAATAAATTGTTCCAGTTACAAAGTCATCTGTGCCCTTCCACATTTTTGATTAGCCAACGCATTGCTGGATAACATCCTGTTTAATTTGCAAAGGTTGAGCCAGGCTAAACGTTTTTTGGTCAGAGACATCTGATTTGGCACCTCTGCTCATGCACACAGTGTTTTTTTGACGCAGCGCTGTTGTAAGAAAGGGAAGAACAACAACCGTTTCCAATTGTGGCATCACGCTGAGGGGCAGGTTAGATGGGCTTGTGTGCACAATGGAGTTCCATTGCATCAGAGATTTGGTGAAACAGTGATGAATACCATCCCAAGACTGGACAATTTCATTTCTTATGCCATCATCATGGCAGTGTATAAGAATTCAGTGTATGTTCTAGTTGTAAAATCTACTGTATGTTAAAGTTCTAGTACACAAACCATGACGACTTGAAGCGTATGTAGTATACTATACAAATTGCCGTCCAGGTAGCTGCTGCCAGCTGTCCTTAGTCTGATTATGTAACAGAGACCAGAAAGAGATGACCTTTGGATGGATGACCCGCATACTGCACACACATCCTGCTCTGCCCTGCTCTGTTTCCTGCAGAGGACTGATGTCAGAGCATGGTGGGGCTAAAGAGTTGACATGAAGGACTCATAGGAGGAGCTGAATACGTCCTCTGTGCGTTATCACAGTTCCAGCTTGGCCAGGAGTGTTCACCACTGGCCCTGACCTTCATACTGGGAGCTGACAGACTAGCTGTGATCTAGAGGATCTCGTGCTGACAGGGACAAGCCTTTCACTACTGCTGAGCACAGTGCTTACAGGAAACGCTGGTTTACAGTGAAACACATTTGCTCCACAGCAAAGACAAGTAATGTCAGAGGAGGAAACAGTTATTTATTTGCCAGCTGCATATAGGATGTACCTATTTTAAATTTTATAGTTTTAATCCCACAGAACAGGCGGCCGGGACATTTGGGACACAGTTGAAATGGTCAGAGGAGAGGTGGAAGACTTGAGACAGGAATACAAGAAGAGGGAGTAAGGTATGGGGTTGCATCCCCATGTCCCAAAATCCCACTAAACAGAAGGTTTCTCATATGTTTTGTCCATCCCAACAAGACCTTTATTCTAGGCTGTCACTCATAAATGTGGTGGATTCATTCACTATTTATGAAACAATTTATTCTCTAAAAAATAACATTTCAGAAGGCAGCTGTGCCCACACAGGCCTGGCAACATGTCAGTCAGTTTTAGATTTTGACAGAAAGAAATTCAATCTGAGAAACTTTTTCTGGATGGACAGATTTGTCACCATGGATGAGGCCAACAGGGAAGGAGAAAACACATCCCATCAGAGCAACTTAATGTTTGACTCTGATGGCCTCGTGCATTTTAGAATTATTTTATTACAAGACCAGGTCTATGATGATATGATCCTGTATGATGATGTTGATCAACTGAATCATTTCTGTAATGGCACAATGTCATGCTAAATAGAGAAGAGCTGCTACAATGGTAACGCAGCGGTTCTTTTGCTGGTGATTCAGTGGATAGCTTAGTAAAAACACTTACCCTCCAACTGAGTAACCAGACCACAAAATCTCTTCTGGTTACTCAATGCCTAATACAAAAAAGCCTGTGTCTACCTGCACAACTCTGAGTTTCGGTAGAGTGGGGTTTTATAACTGTGAACCAGAGCCTACTGGACAGTAAGGAGTGGGGCCCAGCAGTAGGTCTGGGCTTTTGACTGATTTTAGACTATATCCTGGAATTCAAACCTAACAGTCACTTCACCTTGTTCAGCTGTGCAGATTGCTTTATCTCTCTCTCTCTAATAGATGCTTTGTCTTATTATCATTGTTTTTGTTCTCCCCCTCCTTGTCTGTCTCATTTCTTCTCTACACTATTTCTTGTTTTTGGCGCCACTTGACAGGCTGGGTCAGTGACAGGGTGCTGCTGACATAACAAGCCAAGTCGGCTCCAAGAAAGACATATATAGTACCTCACACCTTCTCTAGTAGGGAAAAATGAAAAGAGACTGGCTGCGGGCTGCATGTACGGGGTGGCCTTTTCTCCCTCTGTACATAAGTGGGGGGCAAGGCCAACATGATCTATCTGAACCCGAGCGTCTGTCCTCCCCGCTCTTCTTCTTACTCCCTAATTGAGCCTTGGCACTGGTGTTGCCTCTCTATCTGACTCTCACTCTATGTGACCTCACATTGCTCGTGCTTTCCTGGCTTTGCAAACAGTGGAACCTCAGGCTGATATATGAAACCAAGACTTGCATCCACCACTTCTCCGGGGGGAAAACTGTTCCACCCCTAAAAGATCATTCTGGGCCCAGAGAATGCAGAACATTTGCAGTTCATGAGGGTTGAGCTTTAAATGTGAATTACACAAGCACACAAATAGCTTCCTGGAAGTACCAATGAAAGAGAGTCAAACATTCAATAATTCTTTGACTAATGTTGAAATGAAGACATACAATTTTGGCGGAAGCTTTTATTCTGCCAGGCAAGTTTCTGAAAAATCTGTTGGTTACAAATACTAATAATTTATTTGTCTGTGCAGCATGCTTGGGAAGTGTGTCACCAGCAGAGGGAAATGGCTCATCTTGAACTTAACAGCACCTCTTAACAGTAAGTCAGCTTTAATAGAAATATGAAGAATGGACATAGTCATAGTAAGGGCATTTGTGACTCAGAAACACGGTCTGCTTCTTACGATGTTGAACCTGCAGTGTTTTCTCGTTCTATTTGTACCAGATCTGTGACTCAGGACGCAAAAATGTCCTGTGAGTCAGGAACAAAGAGAGCATATGCATAGCAACTGTGCAGTCTTCAGAGGTCTTGTATTGATTAGACGATTTACTATGACTCCAAGATAATTGTTTTGGGAAGGAGGATATATTAAAACTCTTTTATGAACTATCTGCCAAAACATTTAGTAGAGTTGAGCTACCACAAACATGTGGATGGCTCAGCCATTGTAATTTCATAACACCAGCAAAAGCACAAAATGACAAAAGACCTTCACAATAAGCAGGAGGAGCTTCATAAATGTCAGATGTAATTGAGAATGTTTAAGTGGTTTGGTGGAGAGAAATTGCCCAGATGACAAACTGGCCAAAACCTGAATGATGACCTCAGTGCCCAAACAAATTATGGCACTTAAACCGACTCTGAGCAGATTAGAAAAGCACTGGGCCTGAGTCCAAAATGGAGCACAATTTGACAAGATAAGTCTAAACCTGTAAGCAATAACGATCCATCAAAATATTCCCAGAAACAATTACTCCCTTTCAGCATCCTTGATCAAGAATATGGCTCAAGCCATGGTAAAGTGATTAATCAAGAGTCAAGAAAAAACTAATTTCCAACAAGATTGGAACTAAAACAGTCAGATGATCAAGCCAAGAAACTATTAGGCCTGTCTGATTAGCAGTCTTTGGAGAATTTGCTGAATGCACCGAAAGAGGCTTTTGCCTGAGCAATTATTAGTTGGATACATTATAGTCACAGTTATTCCAATAAATCAAAGAACAAACAAATAGTCAAAGCCTAAAGAAAATATAATCTTTCTGCTCTATTCTCATTGAAAATAGCATGGGTTAATACTTCTGTCTGGTAATTATGTTATATTTTCCTACATTTTGCAGATTTACTTTAATACTTTTCAAGCATGGCAGCAAATGGCAGCAAATGCTTACTTGATTTACTTAGTATTTGTTTTACTTACAGTCTATTAAAGATTTAACATATGAACCAATTCATCTGGTTTGATTTATTGCAATGGTAAACACTACCAGCATTGGAAACAAGTGTACTGAACTACTGTTTGTTCAAGAGCATTTAAACAATTATATTAGCGTAGTGTATCGATTTGTTTTCTGTGAACCTTTCTTCATGACAGTATTGGTAGCTAAAACAAATATCATACGTCATACGTTAACTAAATAAAATAAAAAAACTGTAGTATATTACTATGCCATGGCATAAGACCAAAATATCTGGCTGTGACATTGTTAGATGTTCTAGCATCACATGATTTTCATGAATTTGTCGATTAAAGAATTGCTCATGCTAAATCTGAAATGATGTTATAAATGATCAAAATGATGTTATAAAATGATACAGATATAAAGTATAAATGCTAGCATTTAAAATAGAAAAATGAATTCATTTCAGTGGACTGGCTGCCACCTGTGGATTCACTCTCATCATCAAAGTGAATTTTGAAAGTTCGACTTTAACATGCAACTTTGTGTCGCTGAGCAAAGCCAATCATCTTCACAGTATTGACGTTGGAGCAAAGTGGATCAGAGTCAGCGTCTAACATCTGGTTTTTCTGTTGCTCCATCCATTTTTATTTAACCCCCCCTTTGTAGGAATATAATTGCTTCATAAAACAGGACTTGTTTGTAGACAGCTATGGAACAAAAACTGATGGTACAAATACATCTTTTAAATAAACTGTGTGAACTTATTGTCCCATAGCGACCGAGCTAACAAGCTTACTTACTGACAAGCTAACTAGCTTGCTCTTACCCTCTTTAATATGCCTTTAATAAACAAAATAACGTACAATTATGAATCATCAAATACCAGAGGGGACTAAACGGCACAGTGTTGAGAAAATAGAAAGAAGCTATTGTGACTGACCAGCACAAGCATACTCCTGGTTTGCTAGTGTGATAGCAATTAGCTCCCCAGCTACAGTTCACTAACTAGTCCTACAAATAGTTCTACAGTTTGCCACCATGTTCTGGTGGGACTCGGACATAATTTAGAGCTGATGGAAGAAAGTCATTTTTTGACCGATACTTATTTGGCTAAGTGTGTCTCTGTCTGGCTATAATAAGAAAAGGCACAGAAGCACAGCTGCATCACTTACACAGTGTGGACAGGCTGTTTCGTGGTTGCAGGTCGTGGGGTCTGGACCTTGGTGGTATCGATGGCCTGCCTTTCTGAGGGCCTTCTCCGTGGTTGGTCTTTCTGGAAAGGGTTGGTCCCAGGTTGAATGCGCCTCAGAGTGCCTCTGTCATGGATGTACACCTGCTCTGGAGCCACCTCCTCACAGCGGGGCCCCTGGAAGCCTGAGCGACACACACAGGTATGCGGCCGGCTGCAGGAGCCACGGTTCTGGCAGGGGGGCTGGCAGTCAGCTGAAGAGAGAGCACAGATGGAGATTAAGTTTTCAGAAGGTCATGGTAGAGCATGTGCCCCCCTTGTATGAAGGAGCAGTAGCAGAAAAAGCTTTCCCTGATCCCAACACCGGGGCTCACTTTAAATTGATTCAATCAAGGGGCCATTAGTTTCAGTTCTTAAACCTTTCTGTCCTTTTCATTCAGCAGAGAGCCTGGGGTGGCTGTCATGTTCAATTTCTCTTGAGTCTTTTACTGCCCTGTTTAGTCTAAATATATATGATCACTTACATTAAATCCTTATCCAATTTCTCGCTGAGGTAAAGCCTATACGCCGGGTTCATGGTTCAGTTTAGTGCTGTCTGCATTTCTATATAGAGCGATTTCCTAAAAATATCTCTGATCACTGATCTAGACTCCAGTATATGCTTTCACTGTAACACAGGCAGCTTAAAAAAGTAATAAAAGTAAGAGGTCATAAAAAAATGAGCGAATGGGAAAAACTGCTTACTGAAAGCCAACTGCAAATATCTGACACTTCATCAAAGAAATGGCCTGTAGAGCTGTATCTTTTATTTGAAAAACAAACGAAATCTGAAGGGGCTTACTGTACTAAAATAATGAATGTGTGAATAATATTAGTCAATAGTCTGCAAATACACAGTGCTGAGGTCATTTCATGGTCATGGAAAAATAATCTGTGTCACCCTACCAGCCTACCCCCACACCCTCCCATCACACTCCAGATATTTGAAGTACTGAAAGACCTGTGGCACGCAATTTAAAGTAAACGAGCTCTCGATCTTGTGACACACATGTATGTAGTAGACGGCACTTAAGGATTTATGACATTGTCCTCAAACAGTAAATCAGGCCACTGGTCTGTGGTGGCTAAAGCAAACAGCGGCCCTCTGTCAACAGGGCTATGGAATGCTATTGACACAGATGCTGTGGACACTGACAGATCGCAGGCAGGAACGCTGCCACAGCTCTTGGCAGTGAGGAGTGCTGGCAGTCAAAAATGGCCCCACTGGGTGCAAACAGCGCTCTACCTGCTGCACGCTTCCTGTTATTGCGATACTGCTCAGACTCTGGGGCCACTTTATGTTTCTTCTAGTCTTGGGTGAGAGCACACTGGACCCTGAAAATGCTGTTCCTGATGACATGAGCTCAAAACTGAAGTGACAGAAGAAAACATGACAGGCTGTGTAGCAACTGTATTTCCACAGACATATTCCCAGAAAGAAGGCCAAAATCAAGCTCTGTATTTTAGTTTTCTCAGATAATACACGCTAATTGAAAGACCACTTCATTACGCATCGTCTGCCATTGGTATGAGGAGAAAAACTAACAAACTGAGGATTAAATATCAGACAATCACCACTCTCTTGTGCTTTATGGTGAGGCAAATTTTATTTAGACCAACTAATTCACTCAAGCATTTCGTTTTAACTACTCTGAGAAAAATGTTGCCCCTTTTAGATGAAGCATACACATTTAAAGAAATGTGGTTGTGGATTTGTAGAACTTGGTATGTGATCCGAGTTTTCCATCACGGGATAAAATAGGAATTGCTGGAGCTCTGTTTGGCAAGGAGTTAAATACATCATCTAACTAAAGTACAGGCTGGCTGGGTGCCACCGCCTTGTCCGGAGTCTGTTTAACCTCAAGTTTGGGGATGAAGCGGTGGATCAAATAGACCACAGATTCCAGTGACATTATGCTGCGGGGGGGAAGAACTCGGTAATGTGTGAAAGTACATTCTTCAAATAAACTGTTGGAATTGAAACGAAAAACAGCGCGAGGCAGAAAAATAACCCAATAACTGGAGCTTCACAGCTGGCTTACGATGGGATATGTGTTCTATCGTGTGACGTGTGACCCCTTTTCAGCTGTGAGGGACAGAAGTGACACCAAACATGTCGCCTGTGCTGACAATAGAATGGACAGGTCAATGACACTGGGCCTGCTGACATGTGCCCCACGTGAAGCCTGTTGCGTGGCCATGGCATATACTGTCACTGCCTGTCTGTGTTGTCTCTGGGCCATGCCTCTGGGCTGTTGAACACATTGTCGCAGTAATTGATGTCATGCAGATTTGTCTTGCACATCATTAAAACTAATTGCCTCACATTCCATCCATTTCACAAATATGCACAGCAATTATTACTTTGCGAGAGTTATAATAAAATGAGAATCCCTCGGAAATAAAAGAGGAGAAATGGCAAACATTCCTGGCATTGCCACTTCAGCCTTAATTATGACTAAGACAGACTGGCCAAGTTTTTGGAGATTGTGTCCAGACCCAGTCATCTGAAAAGAGGAGACTATTAGACTGTTGTTGGCAGCTTTGAACCTTCCAAACAAACAAGCAGATCCACTATGAAATCAGTAATAAAACACTATATTAATATGGAAATAGCCTTTTCCTTGGGCTTAGCTAAAATGTCTTCAGCATCATATTTAAGTGAGTCTGGAGTCTTTCTATCTCTTCTCACTCCAGTCCTGTCAAACTTAAGCTACATAAGGATATTTTAAGGACTTTACTGCCTGAATAACATCCCTAAAGAAATGCCTGACGGTTGTGGTTAATCCAAGTATCCATCCTTGTACAAATACTATTCACTATAAAAGTAAGTTATTTCTGGGATTTTCAAAGTTCTTGGTTAGATTTGAGGCAATCACCCAGTAATTCTGTACTTATATTAAAGTAACTCCGGGGTCTTTATTGAGGTAAGTGTTGTTCATCATTTCTCTTGTGGGAAACAGTTACCTGTTATAAGCTTGGGTTTGCATGTGTATATATATCTATATGGAAAATTGCCATTCTCACCCCCCCCCCCCCCCCCCAACCCCCACTCATTTCCAAGTTAGAGCTTGTTTCCAGTCCATTACAATCCACCAGAGATTCCCCTTCCCCTCTCTCTGACCCAGAGTAACACAACCCATCACATCTTTATAGTCCTTTCATTCAGCAAAGGGCAATTTGAAACCAATATCTGACATAACTTAAACATGCAGAGAAATCTTGCCTTCAGTCAACAGAGCTACCAGAGGTAACTTGGCATTTTTGAAAATAATATCAATAATGAAAGCATAATCACAATAAGCTTTCATGGACTTCACTACTCTCTACAGGCTGAGCGCATTATGCACCATTATGAGATTTAGAGGTTGGGAGCTACTCCGGAGATTAGAATTCAGTAGAATATGAAAAGCCCTTTCAAACCCTGTAACTGAGAGACAGGAAGTTGGGAAATAAGATTGAGATAAAGATAAAATGGCATTAGAAGTTATGGTTGCAGCAATTTACCTCTGATTGGCTGTTGCAGTGTGGACATTTCTGAATCTAGTAGATATATGTATATACATGCATGTGGATGCAACATTTGTGAAGAGGCTAAAGCCTTGACTTAGTTTAAAATCTGCTTCAGCTTTGCTCATAACTGCACTGTGCATCATAGACAAGTGTGAAACACTTGTGACTGAATACCTAGTCTGGTAAACCTCCTGTGATGACAGCAGGAGCCTCTCTTTAGAAGTCATCACAGAACCCGACAGATCTGATGAAACAGGTCAAGTGTTTAAGATTGTGGGAGGCAGCTGGGAGAGACAAGCTTTTATAATTCACCTCTCATCCGGACTCACTATCCACTGAAGAAGTAAGAATTGGTCTATTGAGCAGTTAATACAATTGCCTCTCAATGCTAATCATTTCAAGTGAGCGTTAAGCTCTTTACAACATGTGATTTCCACATGGTTGCCACTGCAAGTGCTATCATTTCAGCCTTGCCAAATGCTAACTTTGCCTTCTACAACCAAACTGCTGCTACTGTAACTTTAAAGTTCAGAACATCTCTATTGTTCTAATCAGGACCAGAAGGGAGGTATCCTGACACTGTTTGACTGATCCTTTATTTTCTCTTTGTGGTAAATCTTACAAGGGTAATATTTCACCAGATTAGGGTGCCTCTGTCATAGATGCATATTTTTCAATCACAGTGTATGTTTTTCGGTCCAGTACAGTAGTTGGTGTTTTTATTCTCCTTACCCACCTCAGCTCTGCGGGGGCCTTTTGTTAACCCATAGCTGACCCACGACACTGTGTACATTACTTTTAGCCACACTATACAGAGCCCCCACCGCACCCCTCAAACTTCCAAATTCAGCTTCTAATGAGCCACATGCTGGGGCACTCTGTGGAGGATATCTGGATCTGGGGGGGTGTGCCCGCAGCTTGTAAAGCTGACTCTGTGAGACGTGGTGTTCACCAAAAAGCCACAAACCCCATCCTCCTGGGGGATCACATCCCAACAACTTCCATATGGTCTTTAAACAGGAGGGTGCTATGATATATGGTCGGCCACGGGCTGCCCTAACAACACTGCGGCCTCAGTGAGCGTGTGAGACTGAAGGAGAGGGGCACTTGTTGTTAATGTTGACCTTGTAAATGTCAATCAAGCCCTAACTTGTTTTTAGGCTTACTGCTGAGAGATCTGCGAGAGCATGTGTACTTTTTTGCATGATGGCACTGTGAAAAAGGTGTTACTGAAGAATGCTTTTCAGCTTCACTCAGCCAAGTTTGTTCAACTTCTCTCTTCATTATTGTTGTATTACAACAGCTCATGATCAAAAATGTCCAAAGAAACTAAAAAGAAATTCTGCAGGGAGACATCTAGGTCCAGATGCTGAGTAGTACCTCATTTTCACCACACTTTCTGTCTATGGTAGCAATTAGAAAAACATGTGGTGCAGGAGGCCAGAACAGGACCCAATTGCAACCTACAAACAGACACACCAGCTGGAGTTGGGAAAGCAGCACTCCTGGTTTGGGGGAGACAAGCTGAGAGCGAGCTGTCCAGCGTCTATGTTAATGATGGGTTTTGGGATGACGGGGTGTGTATTGATTACAGGATCTGTCTAATGGGCCATAACTCTCTACAGGGCTGCCAAGGTAGTGTTCTGCCTCTGAACTGTGAACTGTACAACCCCCACAAATCCACACACAACGTATAAGGCGGAGGAGGGTTCTGTGGCTGTCTGTGTAGCAGTCGTTTCAGTGATCACCAGAAACATCAGAATTTTCAAAACCTCCTTTCAAAACAGAGGATGCTGCTCAGGAGGCTTGGTTCTCCTCTATTGGTGTCCTGGTGGCTGGGTCATCATGTGCTCCTCTCATGACCTCTAGTTGCATGTCATACTATCCTACGAAATGTACATGCCATAAACACGGAACAGTGCAGTTCAAACATTTGTTTTGCACAATAAATCTCCTTTCAAAATCACATACATGTGACTAGTGTAGATAAGAGCAAACATCATGGTGCAAATGCCTTTGACCTAAGAATTTGGGCCAAAGGCATTTGCACCATGATGTTTGCTCTCTTCAAGTTCTGCATGACTGTTTGTGTGAATGCAGAGCAGATCTCACTGATGATCGGGTCTAATAAACACGGATATTCTGTTGTGTGTCAGGGAGGTTAACAAAAAGCAAACTGAGACAGCTTGTATCTATTAGGTGAAGATGGAGAACCAACATTTTTGGGTACTGTTTTGGAGGTCAGAAAACACTCACATGTGTATGTCCTTCATATTTTACCAGCTGCCTCACACATGTTGTACCGAAGAAGAACATTAAATGCGTTTCACACTCAAGATCAAGTTTAATTTTAAAGCAACCATGACAAAAGACTCAATAATGTACAAAGAGTGTATTTTATACTTTTGCAATAAATATATTATTATTTTTAATTAATTCACATAAAACTCACATTATGGTGGCCTCCGTGAACATCTCGTGCTGAACAGCTGAGTCAAGCTCTTAACATGACTTAAACTGCTCTCCCAACCTTGGAGGGCTTTCATCCTATTCAAACTACACTGGGGACATGATGGAATTAGGGAAACATGCTACATGCTTTATTTTTTTGTGTGGAAAGAGAGGGTTGTGATGGGAGATGAGAGAGAGGGAGAGAGAGAGACTTTCTGCATGAGGAGTTATTTTAGGGTTGGGATGGGGCCCTGAGCAGCACAGCAGGCCAAAGAAAGCTGGAAGGCAATCAAAAAGAAACTCCTCTCTACCGTGTTTCACTCTGTCAATCACCGATGCTTAAGAGACTGAAAACAACTTTATTCCTCCACGTGAGTGATGCACCTTTCATCTGCAATCTCTAAGTCAGCAACAGGTTTAAATCAATGGCCATCTGTGTGCTTTTTTCAGGGGGTTGTGCTCTCAATTGTTGCCTATACTTGCAGCACGCTGCCATATGGCCATACGCATGCTTTCATCAAAATATTGTGATGTATAGTGTGGTGAAAAGAATTCCGCAGCAGAATATAAAAGCCTGCACTTGAGCTCTTTGAGCTCTGTGAGGGAGTCTTTCTGCAGTGTTGCCTGGTCTGACATATTCTATATTGTCCCATACATTCACTCTGTGTGTGGTAGACTATGCCATGAATCCATGTCAACTGGAGAAGCCACAGCAACACAACATAACTCTGGGACCCTGCCAGTATGAGCTACACCATCACCTATCATTACTTTTTAGCCATGCTAGCAGCATGGCTCTTTGGGCGGCAATGTTGGTGTGTCAAATAATGGTGTGTGAAATAACAGATCTTGAACAAATTGTTATTACTTTTTGAACAGATATTCATGGACCCTGGGGGATGAATCCTTTGGTGATCCCCTGACTGTTCCTCTAGCGCTACCATGAGGTTGATCAACATCAACATGTTTAGCAGATATGAAGTTGTGAGCATGTTAGCATGCTGACATTAGCATTTAGCTCAAAGCACCACAGTGTCAACAGTAAGTAAGTACAGCCATGTGGTGCAGCCCCACAGAGCCTTTAGCTTGTTTATACATTCTTGTTGTAAAACTAATCTACCCTACAGGTCTGACTTGCCAAAGAGCTCCTTTAGCTCAGATTGTCTGTGTGCCGCCTATTAGCCTGTCCAAGCCAGGTATTCATAAAAGGCACAAAATGCAAAATTATTCTCCAGTAATACTGGCTTTAAACATTCTGACCTTAATTTTATTTTATTTTTTTAATGTAAATGTAAACCTGAACTTCAAAACAGTAATTCTACACTGATGTACAAGACATCTAATTGAGGGTTACTGTACGGTATTTACCCTAAAACTTTAAAGCAATTCAAACCTTCATCCTGATTCCACAACTAAGTAGCTTACTATTTTGTAAACGCATTTCTGTGGCAATTCCCAACAAAAACTAATGGTACAACTTTTACTGAAACAACTTGTTGTTTTCCCTTTTTGGTAATTACTGTCAGGTGCAAACCATTCCCACGGCTTACTGGCATATTTTATGAATGATGTTGTTGATCTGTTGGTGAAGCATTTTAAAGTGGCATTAGGTTCTGAAAACCAGTAGAAGATTTTATTTAGGCCTAGAGATTTGAATTGAGGCTCGTGGTATTTCAGACAATAAACTGAACATCTGCAGTGTTTAGCACTCCATTTAATCAGTTTTTATGTCGAGACAGTGTTGACAGTAATGCAGCTGACAGACAGTCTTGTATTATAAATAAGGGACTATTACTGGGCTGTGGGCGAGGCTAGAAAATGGCCTCCCTCTGCTCTTCATCTTAGCAACAATACTTTTTGATGAACAGATGTGAATCTCAGCACAGTTGGGAATAAGAATAAGTGCTGACCTAAAAACAAGATGCTGCATTTCATCTCGACGGGAGCTTCGACCCTGCTTGCAAGTAAACAGATGGGGGTAGAGACAAGCGTACACCTGGCTTCACTTTACCAGCCAAACACAACACACACACACACACACACACACACACACACACACACACACACACACACACACACACTTTGGTTCTTGGCCCCCATTAATGTAATAAAATGAATATTGGTTTGGTAAAACTGCAGTCATAAAAACTTATGACGTTTTATCTCTAATTACAGCAGCTAATTTAAGAGAAATAAACATGATGCAGCAGTGGAAATGCAATGTTCTGTTCTTCTTAATGGATCAAAGCTTTCTATCACAAAACACTGGCTATTTTTGGCACATGGAATTTGGTTTAATACACAAACAAGTCTGCTAACCATCCATCCTGAAGCCGAAAACAGAGACAGTCAGCACCAAACCTGCCAGGGCCGAGTCTTCAGGGAGCCAGACAAGAATCTCCAACTAGACCCACGGAGACCCACGGAGACCCAGACGTAGACCGTTTCATAAACACAAGACATGTAGGCGCACTCCCTGGACAACTAGTGATCCAATTCCTGTCATATATTTGCTCTGAGCTCAACCCAATTGAACAAGGAGGTATTGTTAGGAAGCCATAACTTTAGACACCCAATCCAGCCTCCCCGGTGAACCCTGCAGCTGACACTTTAAATATTAAACATTACTTCAATCCCTTCAGCAAGAATTACGCACCCCAGCCACGATATGTTTTTACTTATGCTCCCAGCCGACAGGTTTGTTCCTTTTCTTTCCCCTACTGTGAACATGTTTTCTCATGCTGCCATCTCCTAATAAAGCAGCCTGGGTCTCAGGCGGGGACGAAATAAAGATAGCCTGAGCCTGTTTTCCTCCACGGAGGTCTTCTACGTGGGGGCTCCCAAGTCCCAGCTCCAGTCCGGGGCCTTTATGTTGGCACCTTGCCAGCCGTGGGGCTTCACTCAGCTGATGATAGCATAGCCTCCAGTCAGACCTGGGTAAGGTCCAACCTGTAAGAGGGTCCAGATGGTTGGGTAGACCCCTGGCCTGCTCAGATGCCTTGTTTAACGCAGGCACGTTAGACCGGACCTGTTACTTTCTGGCAGATTAAAAGTATTTACCCTTTTTAATTTGGGTAACTGCAGCTCCGTGTTAGATGTAATTTACACCTTGGTAAGTGTCCTTTAGCTGGGACTTGAGAAATAATGGAAGTAGGCTTTGCACTGGGCAGGAGGGAAGGAGATGTAATTAGAAGGCTGCTGGGGCCAATCAGCTTTTTGTGTAATCGACTGGCTTAATAGGTGTGTGTGCGTGTGCATGTGTGAAGGAGATAATTAGCAGAGAACAAGCAGAGAAAACAGTAAACAAGTCAAAAAGAAGGATAGATAGATAGATAGATAGATAGATAGATAGATAGATAGATAGATAGATAGATAGACCATGCCATGTGGGTTTTACTTCACTCATAAAATTTAAAGATAACTCTCTCTCTAAAAGCTCCAATTCCATCCTGTTATTTCCGTCTTCAGCAAACAATGGTGGACACAAACGTGAAATTAACATGCAAAGAGCAAATCTGGTGTAAGCTGTTGCCATTTCTGTACTGAACTGGGCCCCTTGTCAAGAATAGGTCAATGATAAGACTTTGACATACCACCACTAGTTCTCTTGACAATGTGTAACAATGTTTTTTTCAATGTTGGGTTTGAAGAAGTGGCCGATTATTCATTCACAGTCGATGTCTCCTATTCCATTTTAATAATCTGGCAGTTAGGATATCCAATACTGCCGTGGTCAAATAAAAGAAGACGTAATTTCACCCATAATTAAAGCCTTGTGTCAAAAAGAGAGCCAATTGCTAAGTGGTAGTAATTTCCATGTGAGGATCTTACATGAAAAGAAAAGGCACCACGCCATATGATGAACATGACCATAGGAGCAATAACACCCTAGGAAAACTTTCATATGGCAATTCCACTTGACAGGATAGTCATTAGTAGCCATTTACTGTGTAAGTTTTCAGTCTGTGTGCATAAACAGCCTCTCAGTCTGCGAAGTTTACTAGTTCAGAAAGCTCTAAAATGCATAACGCATGTCAGTGTGCTTGTGTGCTGCTGCAGGACTTCACAAACATGAATGAGCTTAGTCTGCAAAGACTAAAATTGTTGTATTTAGTAGCTTAATGAAAGTGTATTCAGGCAGAATACATATATTTAAAATGTACATAGTTGTCCTATGTACATAGGTTTTTACTTACGTTTTATGCAGCGATTAGTCCCTGGTGCCAAAGCCCAGCCTGAGCAGCACTGCTGACCACCACAGACATTAGGCCTGAACAAAGGAAGACATATACAGAAACCAGGGTGAAATAAGACACTTTTTCAAGCATAAATTCATATAGAGAGCCTCTTCATAATCCATACAGCAATAACCTTGAGAGGGGAAGGCCTCAAATCATTGCATGACAAAATGATCTGATTGCGAAGGCTGTCATAGTTTCAGATCATTCTGATGTGGCTGACCTATTGATATGAACACCTTAGAGATTACACTATAATTGCATTTTATTCAATAAAAATTTCAGGGCAAGTCACGAAACTCTATCTGAATGTGGACCCACAAGTCTCTCTTTCTGTTATGCGAGAGTCCAGAGTGAAAACAAATACAGAGTTATCTGAGCCTTGAAAGGATTATGTGAGACACACGGGACATGAAAAGCACCCCGCATCTTCTATAAATCACTGAGCAAATGAGAGATGACAAGTTTTAAACAGTTATAACTGGATTCTTTGCACTCTTTAATCCGTACTTGCAGAGCAGGCCAAATCTTGCAGTGGGATAGATGAAAAGGCCCCAGACCGCAAGAGCAACTTCAGGGCAACAGTCAACGCTCTGGCATGGATCTATGCCCCATCATCTTTTCACAAGATATTACAGTAAGTGGATGTCTGACTCGTGGTGATTTGAGAAGATAACGGGAATTGACTCATTGACCTCAGTAGGATTGCACTCATTAGATACTGCAAGTGTTACTGAGGCGTCACAGGGATAACATGCAGTTGAGCCCTCTGGCAGGCTTAGCCTTGTCATAAATCAAACACATCAGGCCAGGCCCGTGCCAAAGACATCAGTCATCACATTCAAATTCCATCAAGGGATATATGTATGTAATGGAGAACTTTATACAACACAATTAGGATCATGCCCCAGGTTAAAATATAGATAACACCATGTTCACACCTAGTTATATATTTTATTTAAACCCCGACACGAGGCAGCAGAGTAGTATTTCACCACTAAGCTATTTGGATCAGTCAAACTTCTGACAGGTGCATTGAAAACAGAAGGGGAGTCATACTGAGTCAACATGAATTTAGAGTTAAGTGAACCCAGCGCTGCCAGTGCCGCGGGGTACAGTAAGTGAGTAAGCTGAGTGGGAATTCCAAGAGGAAATGTGTCATGAAAACACTTTCTCTAACAAGCGGCGGATGATTCATCTGAAGCTAATGAATCAAAGTGTTCAAATCACCACGCATACTAATATAAGGTAATGTTCCTGCAGAGTTATGTAACACCACCTTTATGCTTCTTTAAAACTGAAAGAACCCCATTCATTCGACACTGTAATATGTTTTTTTGGCAGTGTCAAGCAAGGCATGTGGCCCGTGCTGTAATAAAGCATGTTGGATCTAATTCTACAGGCAGCTATTTTCTTTATGCACTGCTTTAAATAGACAGCACCTCAATTCAACCATGCATCAGTGCAGTTGTCCAGCTGACAGATACGTTGAGAAATTTTGTTTTTAAGGTGTGATGGATAAGGGCATATTAACACATTTATTCCGTGGACAGAGCCAGTAAAATGTAGACAGAAGTACAACATCCCTTTTCCAACATTTCTCTTGGGTGTTAGGTGGTGAGTGTTAGTTTTCAGGGCCTGCACTACAAAGTTATCTTAACAAAAAGTATCAATAGCTAGCAGGTGGGCAAGGGGGCAGACTCAGGGCATGAACTGAAATGTATAGCCTAGTCAATGAAACCTTTTCCTCTTTTTTTATCTTGATTTAGGCCTACGGCAGGTGATCCTATAGATGGCAAACCAATTGGCTGAATCCTCCTATTGCTTGTAAAGTCTTCCCCATAAATTGGCCATAAAAATAATCCATTTCCAAAAGGCAAGAGGCCCTGACACACAAAAGAGATATTTCAGTTATGTTTCAGTGTCTGCAACCCAAGGTGAGCCACTCAAATCCCCCTCTGATTATTATGTAAACACTCTCCCCTCCAGTGCATATCATGCTTTGTCCCTATGGAACAAACAGGACTGGATGCAAGAAGGTTCATTTAACAAAAAGAAAAGGGCTCTAATATGGAAACAACCCATCGCCCTGTTTGTTAACAAAGACAAAAAGGGGGATCTGCAGCATTGAGAGAGGGCCTTCAGAGAAACAGGTGTTTCTGATCACTGAGCAAATTTGTAAATGTTCACCAGCTAAGGCTCCGGTTGGGCCACTACAATACATGGCCACAGGCAACAGCAAAAACTTGGGCACACACATTGAAGTAGTCTTCAGCCACTGTACTATTTTGATTTAAATTTACTGTAATGTGAAGTAATGGGAGGAAATGGTGGTAATGCAGTGTTGCATTAGTCTCAATACAGTTAAAATGAAGTCCATCCATTCATATACATTTGTTGTTCATTATAAGCTTCCTCTATCAGCCCAGTAATCAGCACAGTGTTTAACCTCAGCTATTATTCCATGTCCTGCCATGACACTGATGGCAAAATACATATATTACAGTAATTCACATTTAGTTGGAGTGCAGCTCTATCGCCTAGGCTACCGGATAACAGTTTCATGCACTATAACCACACTGTGTTTATATGAAGCAACACTTCATAGTCAGTTGTTATATTACATGATCGCTTGGTTTTCCTTACAGGAAGAGAGATTCTGGTAAAGTGGGCCACCACCACTTTACAGTAGACCACATGGACTCATGTACAGTAAAATAGGTCACCCAAATTCTTTCAAAAGTACTACTCATACAGTGAACTTGAATGGCTTGAACAGCTTGACAAAGCAAACTAAAACATTAAAACAGATTGTAGGGAACTTGGCTGTCATTCTTACCCAGCAAGTCTCTTTGTGCTGGCAGAGCTGAGCTTGCTGCTCTGCCTGCGGTTAACTTTGGTTCTGTGCTGCTGGCTGGCAGTGCGTGGCGCGCCATCCCTCGGCGCAGAGACGAGGTCTTCCCGGGAGGCGCCAGCAGCGTGAAGCGGTCCTGCTGTGGATATGTGTCTGCCATCCCCTTGGGATGATGTGCCCCTGGGCAGGCGGACCAGAGTCCTTGAGTGGCGGGTCCCAGGAAAAGTTTCCCCAGATAGTCTGGAGGATGCACCGTCCTCTGGTCCTCTTGGCGAGTGACCTTGACTCCTCACCGGGGACTGCTGGTCCCCGATCGCCCTGCCTGCCTCTGTACCCTCTTTCCTCCCACCTGTTGTGTCCTTTTGACTGTCACCAATTCGCACCAGTGCAACAGTCAAAACCATTAAAACAGCAAATCCTGCACGGTCCATTTTGGGCATGCAAAGTTTTAAAACTACCGCGTAAAAGTGCAGCTCGCGTTACAGTTTTATCGAGAGCCAGTGAAATATGAGCAAATTTAAAAAGGCTACGTGAGTTCAGCAAGACTGCATCCTCTCCCAAGAATGAAAAAAGCCTGGATACCTCTTCATAATGCCCAGGTAATACTTTGCGCAGAATGTCCTCAGGTTGTCAAATCAGCACTTAACTTCAGTCCACAGTGAGAAACTGAGTTTTTCTCCATCCAGTGCGGAATTTTAATTTTATTTTAAGCAAACATTAATCCATCTGTTTTAGTTTATGTCAGACAAGAAAAGAGGTGCAAAGAGAGCAGCTCGCTCGCTGCAGGGCTGCTGAAGCTGTACTCCTACTCCAAGTGAGAGAGTTTGAATCGTGCTCCCATGAATATCACCACCTCCTTGGATCTGAAGTCACCGGGAATTTTTGTAGGGAAAGCATGCGCTTTACAAGAAGAAACTCCCCCTTGTCGGCTGTATTGTTGCTTCACTCACGGCACCGCTCGGTCCATGTGCCCACACGCACTTCTCTGCCAAGTTACATCATGTTAGTGTGTGTCTTTTACTGTGATTCCTTTGAACAGGACTATTGGAATCATCCTATATGCAGCTGCTTTAATCGTTACCTTCAATTTCGATTTGAATTGACAGGCTACTACAATACCGTTGATTTAGAAACCAGATGTTTCAGGCAGCAATGATTGCTGGGTTATTTAAGTTGCTGCATTATCTTTTATAATTTTTCGAATGAATTGAGTTTAATTTGAGTTTAATTAATTCACCGTTTTACAGTGACACATCACAGTGTGAATCACTTTGAATTTAATTTACAATGCAGTTCAACTTTTATGTAAAACTTGCATCCTGACGATCTGTGGGAGTATACACATTGTATAGGAAGCTTGCAGTTCAAACTCTTGGAAAACTGGTCAGGTTACATAAGAGATCCTGTTCATCTCCCCCTCAAATCCATGCTGCATCATCACTTTCCCTCTGACTGTCTGGAACCAACACATGTCTCTTCTCCCATAAGATCTTAAACAACCCAAAGAGAGTTGGCTCCCTCCTCTCATTCTACCCACAAAGATGTACGCCTGTCTCTCTCATGAGTGATCCCCAAGCACCATTACCACTCACACGATTGCCATCCAAAACACACAGTGAAGAGGAAGACCAGTAGTCTGCCCTTCATTCTCCTTCCCACCAGTTGAGGTTTACAAACCTCTCAAAAGGGATTTTCTTACTAAGAAAACTTTTTTTTAAAGATTACTGAATGAACACTTTAAAGAGACAGAGGTGTCCTCTCTCTTTTTGAATCTCCAAGGAAACATCATGTCTGTGTGGAGACTTGGGCTGAACACCACAGCTGATTATAGCTCATCTTTAAGCCCATGAGAAATCTAATTAGAGAAGGAGTCTGTATTTGTCTTGTGACTGTCCAACAGACTCACTACACAGCAAGGCATGTTGCCTGGCTGGTGTTGATGTCTTATCATGGCCAGTTGACCCTCCTTGAAGGTGACCAGGCCATGCACAGACAAATCCATGAGGTGCTATCTGCACAGTGACCTATGTGAGTGAGCAGCTGGCTGCAGATCAGCTGTTGCTGCACTGTAGTCTGTTTTTGTGTCATGTTAGTGGCCTCATGTTGCATATGTGTAGAGCAGTGGTTCCTAACCACCTGTCATGTGTTTATTTGAATCGATTTTTAAATTGATGTTATTAAACACTTTACATTACATATATTGCTAATATTTTAATAATTATTAATACATTATTAGATATTGTTGCAACCATGTTCACATTATTTTTTCAACATGGTCAAGTTTGCATAAATTGTTACTAGGAGTGGCAGAAACTGGACATTTGAATTGTTTATCCATTACTTTTACACTCAGTTTGCAGTTTATTGGGTACAGTAGCCTACAACTCCTATACCTCCATGAAGATTATAAAGTTTCCATTTTTTGTTTATCCATTACTTTTAGATAGCCTTCCAACCATTTATCCAATTATGTGTTTAGCTATTTCAACTTTCAATCCTTACTTTCAGCTAACTATTTCAACTGTTAATCTATAATTAAGATATGTATTTTTTCATTTATCCAATACCATCCATTTATCCATTTTAGTGTTCATCCATTACATTTAGCTAGTTCAACTATTTCCATTAGTTTTAGCTAACTATTTCAACTGTTTTTCATGACTTTTACTAAGTGTTTCGACCTCTCTGCTTACTTGCTAATTAGATTTCACGCACTCAAACACAGCACATAGTGTTCAGGTGTTACAGCTGGATTAATATGTTGATATACTTTTAAATTTATAAGTTGAACTACTCAACCTTTAACGAATCCTGTGGCACCTGCAGAAGTACACCCCAGGGCACAAGAACCCCTGGTAGGGAATCACTGAATATCTAAGGAGCAGCTATCCATGTTATAAAAGTGGGCCTTAATGTGGCCCAATTTGAAACAATTTGCAGCATCTGGAGGAACTCTAGAATTAATACCAGGAGGATGTCTCTGGCTATGACCGATGCTTCTACACAAAGAGTCCTTTGAAAACTCTGGCATGACAACCAAGCCACTCCTATCATCTTTCAAATGCAGAGCAGAAATATAACTGCATTACACTGCACAGTTTCTAACAAAGCACAGGGTCATAGTAATAATAACAGTATCGAAGTCTTGTAATTGTACTGATCCAAACAACTTGTATGTGCGTGTTTGGCAAAAAAACTCAAGTTGGATTTGGTTTGTCTCCAGACTACTTAGTGCTTTTAATTGCACCATTTCCTAGATGGTTTTTCAGTGTAGAACTGTGAGGCAAATGTTTTGAAGCTACTGAACACACATTTGATGCTTTTTAATCAATTCTATTAATGGGCCTGGTTACTGTTGAGCTATTGGTAGGTCAGGGTTCAAGTGTACCCATTAGAAAGCCAAACGGTATCATTACACCCAGAATTTAGGGCTCTCATTATAAGCAAGTATCAACAGTGTATTCTCAGCCTTGCCTCCAGAATTTTAAGTGATCCATGTGAATTGGTCTCTGTGATTACTTTCAATGGGGAGCACCAACAAGGAGCGTCAATCTCTTCGTTAGCTACCTTTTGCCATTTTGTATCAAAGCTCTCAGCTCTCCTTCCTCATTGCCCAGGAGCTAACATAATACTGACATTGTTCAGACTGGGCAGCAGTGAGGACCTGGGGGAAAACGTGGAACAGGGAGGTTCATTTGGCAGAGAAATGCTTCATAAAAGCTGAAATTATGTGCTTTATTGATGTAGTTTTTTTTTTATTGAACATGACAGCTTTTCTTTGGAAGGAATATTACAGAAGACCTCCATCGTGCTTCGTAACAGATTGAGCAGTGTACATAAAACAGGCATTCACGCAACAAGAGGAAACAGTTGAAGATAGAGCAGGATAAATGTAATATGCTTAGTCCAAGGACTACAGGGTCTTTCCCAGCTTGTATGAATGAGGTGCTGTCAGCTGAGTAATAGAAGTAGGTCACATGGGCGTTATTTAAGACAGGCACTTCCACTTCGTCTTTCATGATATTCATGCTTGTTTTCTTTTTTCACATGGGTGTTGCGAGCGCTGGCTTGACTAAAAAAAATGGAGAATTGTATACGTGTGCTTCAAACCATACTGTACATACAAGCCTCGCACAGCATTTTTATACATTATTGGGGACAAAGGCAAAATCTATCAACTCTGTCTACGCTTTCTAATAGTGGAGCGATCCAGAAACATGTTAAAGTTAGACAGACTTTAGCGCCATTGGCTATGTTTCTGATTCATGTCATAGCACTGGCAATACATTCACCCTGCATTACTTCATGGCTGAATGATTGGCTCATTCATTTATGGGTGTGAGTTGTTAAATTAACAAAGGCTTTAAGCTGCCTGGGATGTCAGACTCAGCGCTAAAAGAAATCTGCATGAAAACTGTAACAAAGATTAGATTAAGTACTTCCCTTTTACAAATTACCCCTTTGCCCCTTCAACAGAGTACAATCTGTTCTGGCTTTGGTATATAAATCATTGTACATCATATGTTACTGCAAAGACTGTGCTATGGATGATGCAGTAAAATAACCATGGTGCCAACTGTATCAAATGAAGTTAAGCCTCATTTCAAAGGTCATCCTGGAGAAACAAAAAGGGCAAAGTGAATTTCTATATTTTAGGTTTTGTTGATTCACTGTATGAGTCAGTGACATTATCAGCATGGTTTTAAGAGGTTTAAGACGAGGTCGAAAGGATAGTTTTCTACCTGACTTGATGGGGGCTAAATGTTTTATGGGTAGAGCTCAGAAGCTTCCTTGTCTTGTTCCTGATGTTTACGGTTAATCAGCGGGGGCCCGGAGGACTGGTTTGTGTGTTTTCTGCTGGTGTAATAAACTGTGTCATGGACAGGGGCAACCACACTCGTTAGCTACTGGCATATGAACCCCCACGGAGCTGGTGCCCTGAATAGCTCTGCTCCCTGAATTTTTTAGTGAACGCTGGTTCCTGACATAGGAATTTTAGATAGACAGAGAGGCAGATGCTGCCCTCCTGCTTCCATCTAGGGGCTAAATATGCAAAAAGTAAAACAGTTGTCTCACTGGTTGTGTTGTATCAGGGCCGTTCAGTCGGGATCGTTGGACAAAGGCAGTTCAGACAGAAACGCAGAAAAAGGAAGGTTCCTGTGGATTTATTATAATTTATGGTTCTAGTTTTATCCCATTAAAATTTCTTTATTGATGGTAGTCTTGGTGGGCTGTTGAAATACACACCAGCTAATGTTTTCACATCTGGTCAGTTCTATAAATGTTTTCTAAATCCTCCACTTCAGCCTTGACTTTTGTGGCGTAGTCCTTCTGTCTCTTGAAGTTTGATTTAGAAGTGTCTCCAATGAACAATACACAGAATGAAGTCACACTACTGCATGATAAATGCCACTGGACAAATTTAAAGGGTGGATCATGCTGGCAGCCAATTATGTCAAATAATAACTTACCATAACTTTCAAGAAAACATACATTTTCCAAAGACGTGGGGCCTTCTAGTCATTAGATGTAGCTTAAAACACTCAAAAGCATACAAACATGAAATCATTCACAGTATAAATCAGTGCTGGCAGGAATATCTAACTATGTGTGAGATGGATACTGTGCCCTCTGTGACATGCAATTTGAGTATTTAGTTGTCATGTTTTCTTTGGTTCTTCAAAGAACTAAATAAAGAAAAGGCAGAGGTAGGGGTTAATGTGTGTGATGGATCATATTGGCTTTTCACTTGGAGCTTTCTTCCTCCTTCTCCCCATTTTTCTCTCCCCTCCCTTTCAATTTTCCTGGCCCCTCACTCTCGATTTAGAGTGCCTCTCTAGCTCCTGGCCCGGGCCCCATGGGCTCT